ATTTGTGGGAAGTCTGGCAAACATTTTGAAATTTCTGTTTCTCGAAAGAATAGATCAAGATTTACTCTGACAGCAACCCCAAGATCGGGTCAGCTTTAGAAAATTATTTTAGTTCAGATGAAGCGACACTCATCAACCTGTGGCACTAGGTAGGCTAACATCTGACAGGGTATAAGACTGCGTTCCTTTCGATTCTTCTTATTTAAGGCTGTAAGTCGTCAAAAACACCATCAAGGTGACAAATCAAAGCCCACATTTGCGAGTTTGAGTGAAAATGAGTGCAATGTCTATCACTTTCCTCATCACCATTTCAATCTAACTCAAAAATGCGACATCATAAGAAGCACACATTAATTTTATCCCTTTCTCTTTTTTTCGTCCTGAATTCGCATATTCAGTCATTGGCTTGCACAGCCCATTCTAACGATAAGCATAGGCGGAGCCAAAGTCTTAAACTGGGAAAAAGTTAAGCCTTGTCAAGAAGCCTAATTATTCGCTCTAGGGAAAAGCGGCGAGGCTTTGGGAAATCTTGCTACGTCGCCGGACCTCTACATATAAAAACAGTATGATAAGATGCCTTCAAATTCAATCATATTCACGCTCAGCACCCTGCAACGATCACTGTGATAGCACCTTTGACATACTTCCCTGATTACTTTTTTCTGCTGAAATTTAAAAGCTAATTTTAGTGCCTAATTTTGCTATTTAAATGCAAATAGGCAACACCGTTAATATCACTCACAAAAAAAAAAGCCAGGAATGCATTCTGTATTTATAGCGTGCAGCGAGGCTCATTTTGTACCGAAATAAGAAGAATACAGGTGGAGCCATGCTCCGGTAGCCTTTCAAATAATAAAAAAATTATTTCCCAATGTGACTCCGGTAAAAGCAAACAAACAACGGCAGATCATAAATAATGCCGGATAGTTTTAGATGCATAAATGATCACCTCCTGAAGTCAATATGCAGAGTTGCAATCTAGGTCTCTGTTAAATTCTTGCAAATTTCCAAAGTTCGGTTATTTTTTGGGCTCTATTATCTTAGATATCTAACATTTCCAAATTCATTAAAGCTGATTTTGCATTGTCTTTTTCTGGTAGTTTACACTCATATGCTCATCTCATTTAAAGTTATTCCGCTTATGGTGATAGGGATGCTTCAGTTACAAAAAAATGATTAGATTTTTTGTTTTAGTTTCACTAAGCTATAGTCGATTCCGCTTTACATCATTCGGGTTTTAAATTCCATTTCAACGCTACTAGGCTCATTTTTAAACGATAGAGCAAAGCTTACGGAAATTTTACTTTCATGGCACCTCCAGCTAACAGGTCGTAAAAGGTACGAATCATCTGTATCCCCATGTTTTCCTTTGGGCACTACTAATTCCAAACAGTTAGATATTGTTATGGGGTACATCCACTCTCAATTATCATGATTGCAAAATAAAGTGATTAATCATTTTGACCTAATAAGCGTCCATTTTGAGACAGAAGATGGCTTTTTGGCCCGTAAAAAAAACATATTCAGCTTCAGTGGATTTGAAAACATTCGATACCTAAGATAATACAGCCGACGAAAAAATAATCGCAACTTTGGAAGTTTGCAAAAATGTAATAGAGATTGACGATAGCAACTTTGCATATTGATTTGATGAGGTAAATCATTCATGCATCTAAAACTACGCGGTGTTATTTATACCTGATTTTTATCTGAATTGCCACCGAAACTTGGCTCCATTTGTATTCTTGCTTGTTCCGTCACTGAATTCATAAGTACAAGGTGTATATTCCTGGCATTTTTTGGTCTTTTTTGTGATGATACCAACGGTTTTGCCTATTGCCTCGCAAAATTAGGGACCAAAAACAAGATTTTGAATTGCACTTGAAAACAGCAAATTTAAGGAAAAATTTCAAATTTGCTATCAAAATGATCGTTGCAGGGTTTTGAACTTGAATATGACTCAATGTGAAAAAATTGCATAGTGATCACACTGTTTAAATGTGCGAGTCCCCCACTCACGTTTGGAAGTAATTAGCAGAGTCACTCTTGCTAACATGTAGCCGCAATTAATATCGACTGGATGAACCTATTATGATGGAACTTTCTAGGAAAATTTGAATGGTATCTTAAACCTGAGGAACCCTTCTTGATTACATAGTTATGAAGAAAAAAAGACAAAAACTTGGATCAGCGTTTTTGTTTTTGTTGTTTTTGACGTTGAACAACATGATGCGAGAACGTTGATAATAAGCGTTATTTCATCTATGATCTATTTTCTCAACGAAAAAGGATGCTACATGATGGAGCTCGCCAACATTTTTAAAATTTGTTAGTTTTGTTTTACCGCGTAAAATTGATCCAGTTTTACTTTACTATTCTTTATAAACTTCTTAAATCATTTTTTTTTGTCTTGAGAATTACCAAATGGTTATATTCTTTCGTTTTCGACGTTAGCATAATCGCTTTGACGGGTCAATCATATTGATCATAAGCAAATTTCCTTTCAATTTTACTTTTTCTTGCTGGTGTCACTAGCGATGCATCGATTGATTGTGTATTGGCGACATTACAGACGCAGTTGCATTTTGCAGCAGCTTTTTACAATATAATCGATGGTATAAGAACTTGAAGCTGCTAAAACACTTAATTTGCGGAGAAAACACGAAAAACAAGCGAACTCGCGTTTTCTCCTCGTGCTCTGCCAAATAACTATAAGAGGCATTGTACTGAGGGAAACCTTAATCTGTGCGAGAGCAAGAAATATTTCCAAAGCACTATTTGAGAAATAACAATCTCATGGATCATGTCTTCAACATGCTGGAAACGTATGCTTCAAATTTGGAGTCGGAGGTGGAAGATAGGACTAAACAACTAGTAGAGGAGAAGAAGAAGAGCGACATTCTGCTTTATAGGATGCTTCCCAAGTAAGCATAATTTTTTATACTGTACAGCCTGTAGTGCGAGGCATTGTGTTGCGATGACATGCAATTCTATGAATCTAGCCATTTTAGACAAGTTGCTGACAAACTGAAACTCGGTCAATCTGTGGAACCGGAAACGTACGATAGCGTTACCGTTTTCTTCTCGGATGTGGTATCTTTTACTAAAATTGCTGGAAGATGTTCTCCGTTGCAGGTTAGCGCTACTTTTTCAAAGAAGAGTGTCTTCGAGATGAGTATGCAAATAAGTATATTTTTATGAAGGCCCCATGCTTGTGCGATTAAAATGCACAAGAAAGAGCATTCTTGGACAATTTACAATGTGGTTTTGCAAAACTTTTTGTCTTCGCATACTTCATAAAGTCTCAAATCATAAGGTGTCCAAAAACATCTTCTATTCTCAACTCCTTTATTTCGAAATTCTTTTTTGGCCTGAATGTCAATTCGAAAAGCTAGCTTGAACTTAAACTTAGATTTAGATACAGTATCGGCCTTTTTTTCGTTTCGCTTTACGTTTTAAATTTATAGGTGCCTTCACCGTTCACAGCAACTATTGGCATTAAGCCAAAAAAAACCAATTAAGAACGGTGCAAAAGTAGGGTAGGGTGTTCATTCGACGCTGAGCTCTATATGTGACAAACATTTGATACAGCGAAATTTCGTGCAAGGATTACAGTAAGTGCCTTACAGTAACTCAAAGCCATCTACGATGCCATACTGTAACCTACCCTGGTAACCAGAAATACAGAATTCTTTACAGGGGTAATTTAAGTTCAACCTAGTTCTTGGAATTGAATTAAGACATGAAAGGTGTTAAAAAGTAATTATTGATCAAACATTCTTGGGACACTCTGTATAATGAGTGATTACTGCTTCGCGATAAAAAAAAAACAGTGCTTTTTACCTTTACCTTACATCACAGCATCTTTTTGCAATACTTAATATGTACAAATTTGCATTTAGGTGGTGAATCTTCTGAACGACCTCTATACGGCCTTTGACGGTATTATCGACTCTCATGATGTGTACAAGGCAAGTTAGAGGTGGAAGTATTCCAAGCTATCCCCTGGGAACGAGAAATCTGCTAAAAGCATTGCCTCATGTAAAAGGCTCTGCTTTGATTTATAGCTCTCATGCAGTGTCATTTTTGGTAGTTTTCTTACCTGGCAGAGCAGTTCTCTCTGGAAGCACTTTTCCCAATTCAAAAAAAAGCTTTACCAATAAACGTTGCTATAGTTTGCTGTTATTCGATTGTCATATTGAACGCACAACAGTCGTATGGCAGGCTCAATGCAATATTTCAATTCAAACTTTTCCACGGCGAAAGCACGATGGGCCCAACTATGTTCGAATGAATTTGAAACGCGTGTAGAAAAACTAAAGGAATCGTTACATGTAAACTTGTAGAATATCCGAAAAAATCAAATTTCTTTGTGAAGTATTTGTTGTTTTGACCTTTAAAATTTTTCGTAGGCTTTAATGCTCAAAGAAAGTACTGCTAGTGTGAAGAGAGTGACTTTGTTAACTTTATGTGCTGAAATGTGCATCGACTGCGCCTCAAACTGCCGCCTAGCAATTTTATCGTCCATAACGTTGAATTTCTAGATTTTAGAAGTAACTATGAGTAAAGTGGTTTTTTTTTTCCTAAACTTACATCTCCACAGCACTAAAATACGTTTAGAACATTTCTTAGCAATGTTTATACAATATAATATAATAAACCTTCTCTCAAGTCATTTTTGAATGTAGGTGGAAACGATAGGCGACGGCTATCTTTGCGTTAGCGGGCTACCTCATAGGAACGGTCAGGAGCATATCAAGGAAATATGCAGCATGTCGCTGGCATTCATGAAGAGTCTCAACAATTTCAAAATACCGCATCTTCCACAGGAGAGGATTAATTTAAGGATTGGAGCTCATACTGGTTAGTAACATTATAAAAAAATTATGCAATGATAAGTACGATTAAAACACCTTTGTTTGATTTTTTGAAAAGCATTTGCCCCAATTTGGTTTTTATTGCACATAAACCATCCCAAGCATCTGCGCACTGCGAAAGACTTTCTTCCAGA